AAAGCTGATCTTCCTCGATCAATTATGTGAGCTCTCGCCATACCTACCGAGAAGCTTACTGGAATCTCATGTACCTTATGCCAGTGGCGGATCCAGCACCTGGCGAGCCCCAGCGGCCGCCCGTGCTGGATCCGTTGGAAGGAGTTTTTTCTATTGGGAATAGATCAAATTTTAAGGTTATATTACTGGTATTTCATTCTAGTTTTAGCCCTGACTTCTAGCTCAGTTGGTTGGAGCTTGTATGTTTATGTTGGATGTTTTGTGTTCGAATCCCCTTGCCAGCAAAATTTATTTTACAATGCTTTTATTCTACATTTTTTACAAAAATTCAATAGGAAGTGGAGCAAAGGAGTTTCGAACTCGGGTCCTCTTTGATGGAGGTATTGAAACTTGACCATTATGCTACTTGTTGATTGCTATCTTTGTGTTTAACAAAGTAATATTTATTAGGTTTTATTAGGTTTGCAATTACAATTGCAAAGATATGAACCCATGCTTTTCCTTTAAATTATATAAAATTTGGCAACAATGACATTCGATAAATCCAATTTATTCTTATAAGAAAATTATATATATTCAATTTGAATAAAGTAACTGTTATATTTAAACTTTAGACCCTTGTTTGATTTTCATTTTTCTCAAAATATTTTTTCTCTTCTTTTTAACTACACATTTTTCAATAAAATAATATTACACACAAATTCAAAACTTCTATTTATTTTTAACTGCACATTCTCCATCAAATCACCATTTCAAAATGTATTTTTTGTAAAAAAAACGCAATAAATAAATAAATGATATCAAGCGGACTCTTAATGTTTTATTGCTACTGAACGGTCGATGATCGCCCGTGCTGGGTTGAACTTCTGGATTCGCCACTGCCTTATGCCATCCTTCGTTTAGTATACAGTCAGTACTATTCGAATTCTTCAACTCCACTGGCATTATTGATTTCATCCCCCCAACACTCCCCTACCACATCACTAGCACATGCTTCTCCTGCATTGAAGCTGCCGCATGGAGATTTTACTCATGGCCAAGATCAGTATGATACTGAAAATGGTTTCATGAGTACAGACAACAAACATCGCAATGTTAGGCGATCTGGGCCCTTGGATTATAGCTTGAGTCGTAAGACAAAACTTGTTGAAGGCTCAACATCAAGCAGCACGGGTCCTAGTCCCTTGCCTAGATTTGCAGTTTCAAGGTCAGGTCCTATATCATACAAATAAGTTACTGGAAAAACATAGTCAAGTAAATTTTGTATATAATCTTTGTCAAAATGTTCTTAAATTTCGGCGATATTTATGTCCAGTTTCGTTTATTCATATATTATCCCTGACAACCAATGAAAAATGATGTATTCATTGTGTTTCATGCTATTTGCTGGTTATTTCTAGCTTTCTGGTAGCCATGGCAAGTTACTCTATTTGGAAAGCTCCATTGCGATAATAGGCTATGTGGGTTGCATTCTCAACTAACGTGATCAATTTGTATTGTAAATTTGGAGGTACATGCTCCCTTGATGATTCATATTCTATTTTTCAATTTCAAGTTTAACTAATGGTAGATAGCAAGGTAGATTTATCTTTGCAATCTTCTCCACCTCATATGTGGTATTCTTGTCGGTTCTTAACGGCATCAAGAAATATAGAGTAACCATTCGACTCGACTTTCCATAGAAGATCAGGATATGAGCGAGTTAGCAGAGTCAGAAATTCAACATTCCCAAATTTTGCAGCATCTTGAATTATTGGAGTCCCTTGAATTAGTTTAGTAAATTCAGTCTGGTAAAGTTAGAATCTGTTTCCAGAGCCTCTCATCGCTTGTCTCCTCATTTGAAGTGAATTATATAGTTTCTTTTGAAACCTGAAATCCTTGCTAAATTAAAAACATTTTATTTGCATACCCTTAAATTTAGATCGAATTATCTAACAATTATCTTTGACTAAACATCAGAAGACATGATCTGATCTGCATTGTACATGATGCATAAAAATCTCAAATTCAAATATGCAAAAAAGAGAAATAAAGGCACATATGCTACTCCAAAATGAAATGAGTTGGAAGAAGCAGAAACATTTGTATGCTACCAGCTTGAAATTTTCCGGTCAATTAGGTACCTGAATTTAAAATCATCCATGAAGCTATAGTTTAAAAATTGCACACTATTGCTTCAGTTATGAACAAAGTGTTCTAATTCATATTGTCTTACACGACCGTCCTTGATTTATATCATCGTGTGATAAAGGCTGTCAAGCTAACATTTGCAGATGGCTTCCTATCTGTACCGTTGGAGAAGTAAATACTTTTATCTGCATTCAATCTGCCTTGACAAAGAGGTTTAGTAATATGGAATCATGAAGCATGTTGAGGAGCAAGCTAAAACAACTATAATGGCTGTTAATGAAGACCAATTCTGTAATTTTCAAATTGACAATCCCGAACTGGTAGAACCACAAGCCGATTGGATTAATACAATCTACATTTATGTCCAAATAAATGCAATTTCAACAGTCTTCCAATCAACTTTTAGAGCAGCTTGAAATAAAAACGCAAGAACTTTCGGAGTATTTACTTCAACTTCCCCTGATCAGATGCTTTGGGCAAACCATCGTCAACTATGCACTGAAAATGCTGCAAGGAAGAAACTTATTCCATGTATCCTTAGAATAATTTTATTATTCAATACCAAATCCAGAACTCTCAAAAATACTAAGAGAGACTAGAAAATTCCAAAATCTCATTTAAAATAAATTTGAAACCAGTTTTCTGTGTACATCTAAGGACTTCTGGAACTTAATTAATTTGCTCAACTCCGGTACTGATAAATTGAATTCATAAACTGATTTCGATAAGCTATCGGATGTTGGGCAAGGATATTGGCATTGATATAGATACTCAGGCTAGGCGTCTCTTGTGGCTCGATATCTTCTGATTCAACTACCTCTGGATCATTCAAGTTCTGGTTCTGATTCGTAAATTTTTGAACTGCGTTTTCTGCTTCTACCCGCCATTCACCTGCCAAAGAACAGTTAAGCAAAATTTGTCAGGAAAACAACGAGCAACGAAAATGTAGATATCAATATTTTACTATTCCTTCCACATTATTGGGATCACATTTGAATGTGACATGCACAAGCCTGTGTCACATTGTAAGTTTAGTCTGGCTGTGAAAGGAGAGAGATTTAATTGAACATATTCAACTAGTCTGAGTTTTTAGACAGTCCTTACATTATGTTTGGTAACGCTTTTTGTATATTATAAGCCGTGCTGTACATACTTCACTGTTCACTGGATATAAAGGGATGTTGATTATAAAGTGAAAAGCCTGGGGGTTTAAAGTGTAATTTGTTTTGTGTACATAAAGTGTTTACTGAAATCTGAGGGATGGAAGTGAATTTAAAGAAACAGAGCTGAATATATTTATTTTGGCTGCACAATCAGTCATCTTCAATTAATAATTAATTAAAAAGAAGAATGAAAAATGTGTTTGATTGTCATAATTATAATCTCTTCATTTTCCTGTGCCAATATTAATCACATAAATTTCTGAGATCATCAGAGTACATCAGAATCGTGTTTGTTAAGAATATAGATTTGATTAGTTGACGAACAGCCTATTTTTTGCAAGGAAATCCCCTGCTACTGGTATTGCAAAGAATTCCCATATTAGTTTTTGCGCCAAATGAAATTCACCAAGTGAGGAGAGACATGATCTCTCTGCTGTCTCGAGTAGTAGTGGATCCATATATGAATAAAGTCACAGCAATTAAGCCAAATAACATTCATTGCATGATCATGTTCATGAATTGCTTCACTTAATACGTTTTGAGGCATGTGAATTTTGATGTTACTCATGGGCTACTCCACTTGATTTATTTGTGGCTTCGGTAGTTAAGATATTGATTTATAACTGTATAGAAGAAAACGAAGACGAGTTAATAAGAAATAGAAAGCTTACTTCACTTATTCGTGCACTTGAAAAATAAAGCCATAATAACTACAACTAATATTGTGGCTCCTTTTATTAGAAAAGCCTGTTGTGACGTGGTCGAAACATAAACCTTGACGCGAAGAATGTTGAGTGGATCAGGGCAATCCATAACTTGAGATTTAGCATTGCATATATAGTGATTGGAAGCAAACCAAGAGCAGCAACAACTTTCGGCAATGTCCCATGCTTTTCTTCCTTGTAGACCAAAAAGAAGGTTGCGCTAAATGTTATGACCATGCAAACGATTGAAGCAAAGAGCGTAACTAGCCCAACCAACAACTTTGCCGGTAATGAAAATAGAAAATCATCTTCTCTGTATTGTGCAGTAAAGAGAGACAAAAAGGTCATTATGGAAGCTGTTGAAGTAAACATTGCCACCGCATCAGATGTAACAAAAACTGAGAACCACTCATCTTTCAAGAAAATTGGGGCGCCTTTTTCTTGCTTATACCCACCTGGTACGGTAAAGGCTGCAGCAAACACAACTGTTGCAATTAAAGTTGCCACAACCATGCAAGAAGTTGCTGTCTTCTTCATCCACTTCTCACCATCTTCCCGTAACTTCTTATGTTCCAGCGTAAACAACTCCCTTGGTGATTGGCAGCGATTGTTTTTCGTCTGAAGATAGGGAGGCCCTACAATCTTCTCTACCGCCTGTACAGCTTACTCAAATTAATGTATATAGCATAATCATCTAAAATTCTATTTTGTTATTACATAGAATAGATAAGAGATTTCTAAGAACTCCACACACATATTCATGATACAATTTGCCGCTATATATGAAGTGTTCCTCTTCTCTTCGAGGGGAAAGGGAAGGGGACTTGTAATCGTGTTAATTTCTCACCTTAAACCATTGTAGCTCTCTCTGCATTTGAAGAGCTGGTCCAGATACAATATTGAGTCTGCTTCGAGGTGCCTTTTTCCCGGCCAAATGCAAAATGTTGTTTCCTTTATTATCTTCAAGTAGTGCAATTGCATCCTTCCTAACTCCTCTGTGGTAGATGAGGCTAAAGACTTCCTCTTGTCGGTTAGTAACAGCAATATGAAATATGGAATTTCTCTCTGAGTCGAAGTTCCATATAAGATCAGGATATGAGTGACTAAGCAGAGTCAAAAACTCAACATTCCCAATTTTTGCAGCAGCATGGAATATCTCGGTCTTACGAATTATTTCTAAGATGTTGGATATCGGTAATGTCAGAATAATTCCCCACAGTTTCTTTACTAATTGACGGGCTTGTCTCCGCATTTGAAGTGAACTATATAACCTTTTGAAATCTAAACATCTTCGCAAAATTAACAAGTGGACTAAAAACCCAAAAAATTCTAAAAACTAGGAGTAAACTTGAATTTGCTAGACAGTTTCGAAGTTCATCAAAGTTTAGATTGAACAAACATTGATATAATGTGAGATTCAATTATCAATATAGAGAAAACTAATAATTAAAGATACAATTGAAGAAACTTCAACGCATACTCCCCGATAGATTCAGATCAAAAATATTTTTTTCATGGGTTAGTGTTAACAAATTAAAACTCCTTATCGCTTGATTGATTATTCCAGATACTTCCTCCACCCGTAGTTACTTTCAATTTATTTTATGAGCATCATAATATTACAGTCTAATTTGAGAAGTAGAAAAATCTAACTATCTGATTGTATAATAACCTTAACACCATATTTTGAAGTGAACGGAGTAATAAGGACATCAACCATGAGGCTTTAACCTAAGAATTAATTTTATCTAGCAAGTAGATATATTTTGAATGCAAGAGTTGAATTACATTACTTCATCAAGTTTAAACGAGTGTCTAACGTGTGAAAGAGTGAGAGAAAGATATTGTCTTACATGGAATATAAGGGATAGTAGCAATGATGCTAACAAGTCTTTCCCATATCTGTCCTTGAATTCCGTGATTTTGTGATAAAGGTTTTCGAGCTAAAATTTGTAAAACACTTCCTACTTTTGCTCCGACTTCTGCTGTTGAAGTAAATGTTCCTACTTCTGCTGTTGAAGTATGTTTACGTTTATCCACCGCATTTAAAATTTCTAAGGCGATATCTGCTCACAAAGAAAAGCAAGCGTGTTAAATTGTGCAAGTAATCATATCTACTTCCGTCAATTGAACAAAAAGAAGAAACATAAGTTTATGTGGGTACTCAGACCCATTTCATCGCTTAAAAAATAAAGATTTCATACCATACATGTCAATGTGGATAGTTGCTGCAAGAATCTCCATATATTTTTTGGCGTTGAGATCTTCAAAAGGTGTAATTCGGTAAAGATATTCAACCATTTTTCTGTTTCGAAGAAAAATTGCCATTTCAAGTGGGGTCATTCCTGATTTATTTTCAATTCTTGGCAATTGCCTATTTTTTGCGTACATGACGTTGGCTATTTCTACTACCTCTGACCGAGCTGCAACATAGAAAGCTGTTTCTCCATATATATTCGTCAATTCCAGCTCTCTTTCTTCTAAGTGTTCGACTAGATTGGAGACAAAAGCAGTTCGCTTGGCGGCGGCAGCTATGTGAAGCATCCTATCTCCTCTTTCTGTTACCTCGATACAAGCATCAGATCTATGAAAAATCAATGCACTACCAGCCTTCCAATCACCTTTTAGAGCAGCTCTATATAATAACGCTGTTTGGTGTGGATTAAAATCAAATATTTAGTAAATTTTGGTAAAAGATAATGAAACGTGTGGTTGAAATTAATTATTCACTCTTATCATATTTTGATCTGGGACAAAGTGTTCACTCTTCCTTCTCCTGTTGTTTTTTGGTGAGACCATCGTTATGTGTTAAAAATGTATAAATCTCCAGAACTGCGAAATAAATATAATGTAATATGTATAAAGCCAAAGGGTAAGTATATAAAAGGCATACAACCATCATCTCTTATTTATATACATTACGCTCAAGGAGATCAAGTGGTTCAACATCGTATTGTAGTCCATGAAGCTGAAATGAGTAAGTCAAACTCCAAGATTGGTGTTCATAAATGATACACCATTTTGCAGGACATAATAAGGGGAAAATTCCACATTGGTTAAATATGAATATAGTATCTGACATTGACATAAACATAAAAATACGTAGGTTTGGGCTACTCTTTTAACAAATGCTGACATTTTAAGATGATACCCAAAGACTCAATAGCATATATATGCGTATTGGAAAAAAAAAACACATTTATAACATAGATGAGAAGATTATCTCATCGACGAAGTAAATTAGAGTAGGGAAGTCATATTTTAATTATGAAGATAATGCCTGGAACTGAGAGAGAAAAGCCTTGGTTGCTTACTCAATCAAGAATTGAAGTCTCCATTTTCTAGAATATAAATGTGAAATTGTACGACTACCACTTGAAAGAAAAGCTAATGAAAGTATTGCATTTCCTTCGGAAAATAAATAAAAATGTACACACATATTTAGTTTTCTCGAGTCATGAAATGGAAAACAAAATTCAAAAACTTACTTTGTTGAGCAATCGGAGCAATCGGATGTTCTGCATTACTGGAATTGAAAATAGGACTTTCAACTGTAATTTCAATCTGGTAATGCATGTTTTTCAGCTGCTGGATTTGTGCTTCAACCACATCTAAATAGGCAGGACAATCTTTAGCATCCATTGGAAGGCACGAATCTTCCCGAGACAGATCTGACTCATCATCGCTTCCGAGTTGAGGTTCCGATTCATAAGTTTTCATTTTTCTTCTCCTCTCAATCTCATATGCCCTCTGTCTTCCGTTTCTCCGCGCCATTCAGCTGGTAAATTAAACGATCAAGCAAAACGTGTCAATTAAAGCACCACTAAAATGAATGCTAATATGTCTTTCACCACTGAAATTAGTTTCTCAAGATTAACATGTTGCTTCACAAAATCCAGGCCAATGGTTGAAGCTATGTCTTAAAAACTCCTGCAAGACTTTTAAGAAGTGTAAAGAGACATTTTACACAAAAAAGTGCAAAACTTTTGACTGAGCATTATATATTTTGATTTTTGTTTTATTTTGTTTGAGAAATGATTTTTAGCTATCAATTGAGAAAATGGTCGAGTTATAATGCAAACAACTACAAGTTCGCTTCAATTATCTACCCATTGGATAAATAAATGAATAATATCATTACTGAATTACCTCAAAAGCTTCCTCGTATGTACTTCACTAAATATAAGAAGGGACTAATTGCTGATTACAAAGTATAAAAACTCAAGCTGAATGAAGAATTATACTTTGTATGCCATGAAATACAGAGACGACATATATATAACACAAATGTTTGAGGTCAAGTTGTACACCAGATTTGAGATTGTTATTTTTCTACCCCGTTTGGTACCTATTTTTGTAAAAATGAGAATGAAAATCGTCTACTTACCTAAAATTCATAGACTCTGGGTGTCTAAGTAATCATAAATTGTCCACATGCAAACTATTTTGAAATGGAAATTCGTCGTAACTAATCAGAATTTGTCCGCATGCAAACTATGAGGATGCCGCTCTCTAACCTTTTTCAAGGCCATTAGAGGTTTTCCCATATGTATGCAGAGTCAACATTTATTTAAATTATTAAACTTGTTTTTCCTTAGCAATTTCATTTTCCAGTTGTACAGCCATTATGTCAATAGCATTTCCCATAGATATTTTGTATCAGCTGATGTTAACATGAAATATTGCCGATGTTTGGTAAACCTAAAAAAATTAAATTATAATTTACCTTTAAAAAGTCAACCTTTAATTTTAACCGCACATTTTGTAAAATCCACAATTACTATCCACAACTCATTTCTGTCATATTCACATCCAACTACTTGCATGGTAAAATAATCGCCATAATAGAATATCTATGTAAAGTTTAATCAAGATCGCATGGGTAATCTCAGAAGTAAAATATAATTAATTCATGCAAGCCAAAAAATAAATAGAAAAAGTACTACAAAACAATAACTATACACATGAATTATATATACATAAAATAAAGTCAATTGCCTAGATTATCATCACATGGCGTCCTCTGTGTTCGGATTGATCATTAATAACCGTTTAGGAATTCGGTCGGTAGAATAGTGGTGAAGATCATGAAATGTGTGAAAATAATGATTAATACTTTCAAATTTATAGTTGAAATTAAAATTTAACTTTTACTTGATAAAAAAAAAAAAATATATATATATATATATATATATTAATGATGTTAGATGAACAAAGGCATAATTCTAGTTGCAGACTCGTAGGTTGTAGCCTCAATAGTTGATGCAAGCATTGAAATAGTGTTTTTAATTGTTCTTAATGTTTTGTTGTGTCATGAGTTCCATCTTCATGGGAACCTTTTTCTTTAGTAGACCAACTATTATATAAGTTTTTCTTTAACTTTTTAGCGTATTAATTTTATAAACAAGGTCTTACAGTCATCTTCCTATACATTAGTAGGTTCATCTCATCCCATCATCGAGACTCCAAACAACCTACCCTCAATTTCCTCATGTGTTTCTTCATTGCACATGTTTTAATGTTTGACTTAGTCATCTTGTTTGTTTCTGCATTGGTCAAGGTTTAATGTTTGATCAATATAGTCTTTATTTCACGTGTTTAGCATATTTAAATTAGGAGAGCTCTTTTACAAATAATCTAAGTCCTTCATTTAAATATATTTAAAGGTCCAATTTCATTTTCTTGAAATATTTTATAAATAAAAAATTACCTCGCCCCTCCCCCCCTCTCATTATACAGACAAAGTTTTAGAATGACTAAACTCTCCCTGTGTGAATCCGTGTCTGCATAGCTCATATCCAAGTTAATTGTTCCAATGTTCATTGAATTTATGTCCATGTCTTTGATTGGTCACTGAACTTTAAAATGTCGAGTTTTGATCACTGAACTTAGATTCATATCTTTGATTGGCCACTGAAATTTAAAATGTCGAGTTTTGGCCACCGAACTTTGAGTTTTGGTCACTGAATTTAGGTCCATATCGAGTTTGGCCATTGAACTTAGGCTCGTGTCTTTGATTCCCATTTTTCTTCTCTTCTTTTTAATCACAAATTTTTCATTAAAATAATATTACATACAAATCAAAATTTTTCTTCTTCTTTTTAATCACGCATTCTCCATCAATCTACTATTTCCAAAATACTTTCTTTTGAAAGAATGTGGCTCAAACACACTTCATGTACTTGTTTGAGCCCCATTCTTTTGCAAAAATTCATTTTTAACAGTATTTTGACATCATTTCAACCACACATTCTTCAATAAAATAATATTACACGTAAATTCAAAATTTTTCCTTATTTTTTAATCACACATTTCCCATTAATATACTATTCAAAAATTTATTCTATCCCAAAAAATGGAGTTCAAACAAGAGCTATATAAGTGAATTAAAAAAATAATAATTAAGTAAATTAGCTGGACATCACCAAATGGCAGTCCCTTGACATGTGGAGGAGAAAAGTTGTCTCTATTCAGAATTGATTATTAGAAATTTTCCTTCTTCTTTTTTTTTTTTTTTTTTTTTTTTTTTTTTTTTTTTGTGGTAGGAACAGGGTTGTGGACCATATACTTTCATTTATTTGCTTTGGGTGGTTGTGATTTTTCTCTTTTCAATTATTGTACTTTAACATAAGTTCTAGGGAAATTTGCACTTTCTTTCCAAATTTTTGCAAAATGTAACAAATCTATCTCAACCTTTCTATCTAGCATAAATTATTCACAACCATTCAATTATATAGCAAACATAGTCTTTTCTTCCATTTTGGTCATTAAATGATGGACTTGCCCTTCTCTTTAAATATATCACACTTAAATGATTAATTACGTATTCATATATATAAAAAAAATTAGAAAAGAATAAACATTTCATCTTCCCCAATCAAACTTAACCACCCACACCGTCCACCCCCACTCCATCCCATCCACACTCATGGTCAAACAATTCCTCGACAAATGTAATCACACCGTCAACAATGACATTGAAAAAACTGATGGTACAAAAGTCAATGGTCTAGATTACAGAACCACCATCAGAAGACTCCTAACCAACCCTTCATTATCCGTTGCAAAAACCAAATCAACATCCTAAATCGTAGAATTTCCACCAGCAATTGACACCTCACCAATCATTGCCAGAAAATAAATAGAAAAAGAACTAGAAAAAAATAACTATATAAGTGAATTAAAAAATAATAATAATAATAAGTCAATTAGCTGGATCATCATCAAATGGCACCCTTGACATGTGGAGGTGAAAAGGTGCCTCTATCAACTTTTTATGAATTTTGAAGTAGGAATAGGGTTGTCGACCATAAAATTAAGAATTAGTATGTGTGTATAGAAGAAGGATTCAAAGAACTCTTTCAGAACATTCACATGAATGGGCTCTATGTGAGTAAAATATTGTAAAAAAAGATCTACCCATCTTTCCTATTGTATGAGTTCTAAAGGGATTCTGTGATACCATTAAAGTAATGTTATTAATATTTGTTTCTGTGGGGTATTATTATAAATGACCAGCTACTATTCATTTTTGATAAAATGTCTATTATACCCTTAATGAAATAATTTATCATATATTGCACAAGATATCCTTAATTTATTGGGATAATTTTAAATTCCTCTATTTCTCTCATTTCGAGTTTTAATATATAATTTCATCCTTTGATCTAATAAATTAGCATAATCTGTAATATAATTGTCATGTAATTTACTAAGATTATCAAATTCCTTCGATAATATATCCATAATCTCTAATTGAGAATAAATATTTTCTATTTTTTCCATTAATCTATCTAACAGATTATCTAATCCTTTAATTGTATAACCTGGCATTATTCAAATAATTCCTTGCAAACTTTATGAACAATAACATATTTAGATAAGTTTTTTGCAAACATGAACAATAATAATCCCTACAATTCTTTCAAGATATTAGAAGAATTCTTTCTAAATTTAACAAAGACAATAATTTTACCTTACTTTTGATCTTAAATCTGTATTCTTAGAACCGAGTGACCTTCAGGCTCTGAATCTGCAAACTGCTCCCTTAAACGGCCTCTTGCCTCAATGGGAATTCTGCTATTTCAGCTTCTTGCCCTCACTGTATATTTTCTTAGAATTAAGAATAAAGATCTTAAGTAAAGAAAATTCTCTCTTTGTTAAAGTAAGAAAGAGATTATCTTCTTCAATCTATCAAGAATCTATGGGATAGTAAGTTTAGAAACTCATATCTTTCTGATATCAAAAGATTGAGATTTTATTTCTATAATGATTTATACAAGATTTATATTGTACACAAGGGGTTTTCAGAAAAACTGGTTTGAAAAAAAAAACTTAAGGAAAGAGAATGGTTTCTAAC